CTTGCAAGCTTCCTACCTCCGGAGCTCCTAAAGGCAGCAGGGGATCTGATCGTGCCTGTTACTTTCCCAGGCGTAATCTCTTTGATAGCCTTCTCTACACTTTCAAGAGTTGGTATTTGGTCCAGCTCCTACATTGTGGGAAGCTGGTGATTATTGCTTTGGTGAAAGCGTCATCAAGGTGCCAGGCCTAGACTGGGGAATGGCAACTAAGGGCAAGTCTACACTCCAGCCTAAGTCATCATAACTTACGTCGAGGGATGTGAAACACTCTCTCTCTCTCTCACACACACACACACCGTCGAGCGACAAGTTTTGTGCTGTCCACACCACCACTATGTCGGCGGGAGATGCTCTCCTGTCGGCATACTGCATCTTCACCAGATGCACAGCTACATCAGTGCAGCTGAGCCAATGTAGCAGTGTACATGTAAATTTGCCCTAAGGCAGTGTCACAGATAATGACATCCTTTGAGTAGAGGTCTTTGTAATGCTCAGTCCATCAGTCAAGTAATTTTTGCCTGTCAGTTAATATGGTACCATCTTTCGCTTTCAGGTTTGCGGTCTTTTTACAGGATGAACCAAGGGCATCTTTAATTCCATTATAGGTAGCACAATGGTCCCCTATTTCAAAGCAGATCTGAATCTTTCTGCACAGGTCTTGCCAATACTTCTGGGCACTTTCTTTGGTGGTTTTCTGAACCGCAGCCTTAGCCTCTTTAAACTTGAGAGTTCTGGTCTTAGGTGGTTGTTGAAGTAAAGTTAGGTGAATTTGCTTTTTCTTTTCTATAAGTGGGAGCAGCAGATGTTCAGATGTTGCAAACCAATCAAGATATTTTTTCTTTGTTGTGCCAAAGACATCCTTGGCAGTAGCCGCTGTCTTATTCTTAACAGTTTCCCACAAGATGTCAAAATCAGGGGAATCAGGTGGATCATTTTCAAAAACAAGCTTGTGCGCAGATTGAAACTTTGCACAAGTATCAGAATCCTTCATGTTAGTGATGTTGAGGCAAGGTTTACCTTTTCGCTTTGCATAACAGATCTTTTTAAGATGCAGTTGGAGCTTGGCCCCAAAAAGAGCATGAGCCTTGTCACGATCAGCACTATGCATTGATCAAACATGCAATACTTGGCAAATGTTTCTGCGACGGCTCAGGATGAGGTCAAGCTGATGCCAATGTGCTGAGTGAGGGTGCCTCTATGTGACCTTTCTGCGGCTGCTGCCACCTGCCAGCAAAATAGGTGTTCAAGACTATCCGCTCACAAGAGGCACAAAGCTCAAGGACAGCTGGCCATTTTTGTTGAGGCTATCTGTGCCGTATTGACTAATGATGTGTCCCCTGTGCTCCCAATCCTTACCCATGGGGGTGAGTCTGTCCCCAGAAAAAACATTCTTAATTATTTGTTCCAGCTGAGAATAAAACTAATCTTTTTGCTATTTGGAATAATCAAGTGTTGGGCCATAAATGGACAGAAGAGACAGGTTCTTGAGTTTGTGTTTGTATCCAGCTGCACGATCCTCTCATTGATAGGTGAGGAGGGACACATGCACTGAGGACAGACTTCTTGACAGCACATCTAACATCATGTATCCTTGGTTCATTGTCAGGTTTCCCAGATGAATAGAAGTGATAATTTCTCTGATTCAATTTCTGAAAGCCTTGTCTCACTGAGGGCTGCAATATCAATGGCCAATTGATGTAGTTCTCTATCAGTTATGGCTGTTTTCTGAAGTTCAGAATCTTCCAGTTCTAGTCTGCAAGGACTGATTAGTTTAGAGCCTGGAAAGAAGTTGGAAGGGAGCTTTTTTAACTCACCATTCCTCGTGTCTTCCCCAGATTGGGGCAAGCAGGCTGCCCCTAAATAGGGCTGGTTGTAGATCTGAGCCACAGCCGAACACCTGGGTCCTTCTCCACCTAAATGAGCAACCATTGAACACGGACCCCCGCTGCATACGCCTAGACAAAACAAAGAAGGAAGGGGTTGCTATAGGCCCTCCACCTTCTCTCTCGGCAAGAATTATAGAATTCCAATTGCAAGATGAAGGACAAGGCCTGCTGCAGTTTCTAGCCGGAACACTGCTCTGAGTTGAAGAAAGCACCCACCTTATTGCATCCGCAGCTGCGCCTTTTCTTTGGATGGGTATGGTCCCAATAGAGTGGATACCATTGGCCAACAAAATTCAGGCTCGTCTGCTTTTCTGGGGACATTTCCTTCCCCCAGGTGTTCTACTACTCAACCCATAGGCACTCCTCTGCCTGAAGCCGTTGGAGCTTCTCCTGGAGAGACGGGTTTATTAAGTGGCACCTGTCACTCACCATTGCATCACTGGCTGTACCATCTAAACATTCATTGGTGAAGCCCAGGAAAGGGCCTGGCTAGATGCTAAAAGATGTGTAAAAGAATGAAGTTGAGACGAGAGAGGACTGGCTTTGAAAACTGAAACTTTATGGTAGCTGGATTAAAGGTTGAGAACTTAATTATCTCAAAAGTATTAATGTTTATGTAAATATATATAAGTTTATAAAGAATTTAGCACTAAAAATAAATTGGGTGGATCAAAATAACCAAATCTAACATCGCATTAAGCAAGTCAACCAAATGAAACATTAAACCAAATAGCTTTACATAAGTGGGCAGCAACAGTAATAAAAAGAGAAATCTCTGGCTATTTTACAGGTGCTGTACCAAGACACACACACACATTAGAATAAACCCCAGAATTTCAGTCTCAAGTTTCACATATTTTTAGTTTTCCTCATGTCTTCACCATCTGCTTTAGAGAAACATTCCATAAAACTGGAGCATGTCCTTAGGAGATGAAAGGCACACCCTATCTATAATTGTATCTAAAATACAAAATTCTATTTTGTTGGGAAAACCAGTAAACAATAATGATTTGCAATTTCTGCTTTCCCAATTGAAAAACCGTCTTGCTTCTTGGAGGTATGATTTGCTGCTGCTTGGAGGAGGCACCTTTTCCAATCTCAGCCACTTTTGGAATTATATTTTAACAATGAGATTCATATGTTATTAGAATCATATGTCATTTGCAAATTTAACACGATTAATTTGGTCTTGAATAGGTACTGGGAGTAGCTGGCTCACTACAAAAGCAATTTCCCCATTCCTGGTATTGACACCTCCTCATCAATTATTGGGAGTGGACCACATCCACTCTGACTGAATTGGCCTTATTAACACTGGTTTTCCACTTGTAAGGTAACTCCCTTCTCTTCATGTGTCAGTATATTTATGCCTGCATCTGTAATTTTCACTCCATGCATCTGAAGAAGTGGGATTTTTTACCCACGAAAGCTGATGCCCAAATAAATCTGTTAGTCTTTAAGGTGCCACCGGACTCCTTGGTTTTGTGGATCCAGACTAACACGGTTACGCCTCTGATATATGTTATTAGCACTGCCTTCTCCCTTTCTGATTAGCTGTAGTTCTGTTCAATATTGTTTCATGGTTCCCTTGTATTCCCCTCTAGCTGTATTAATTTGTTGTCTCTTGTCTTAGAGACTGCAAACTCTTTGTGGCAGGGGCTGTTTTTTGTTCTGTTTGTACAGTGCCTAGCACAAAGGGGTCCTTGACTAGGGCTCCTAGCCACTATAGTAATGCAAATAATAATCCACTGCTCAATGTGTGTTACATGTCCTTGAGTCACAGAGGATGTAAGGCTGTTAAATTCCCCAGCACTAAAGACTGCTTCTTCAGCTTAAGTTGTAAACACTTAAGCTTTCAGCTCCAGAAGTTCCTGGTTCAAGCAACTGTGTTGGTCAAGATGATAACCATTACACTATATTACTATGAACTAACTAGGGCTTGAAGCTATTGCTATTTGATACCACAAATGTGTACAAAAGGAAATAGTCAAGAAAAATATTTCTGTGTCATGAACATGGGTGGTATGGGATTGAAAAGGAATTGTCCATATGTGTCTTCAAGTAAAAAAATAATAATAAACATTTGCAGTAGGTGGCAAATTTGACATCAAAAGAGGTATCATTATAACAAGAAAAATAAGCCTAAAAAATCCAACACTTGCAAAAATGAAAATAAGAAAAAAAAATCTGAAAACCTGAAAATCACTCAACAGTGAGATGCTGCTGTATTATGTAGCGTTCTTTACTGGCTGAGTTCGTTTTTGCAGCAAAATATTTTTCTTACTGTGTGGGGTGTGCAAAGGAAAGTCTTACAACAATACTGCAAACAAAACAATTAGTCGCATTAATGGGGCGGGGACTGTTCAGGCACAAGGAGATAGTTAGCACGGTCCTGATCCATAAGAGCTCAGGGATCCTCCCGAACAGCTCAGCTTGCCGCATTGGGGCTTGAATCTAATTATACTTTTTCTATCGCTCTCGATGTTTTCGGTTCCAGTTTTGGAAATAGAGATCCAGATTTTAAAGCCTATACATCTTTTTATAATCTTTCTCTTCTATTCCCTGCAACTTCTCAGATCTGCTCCGTTCCCTCACAGCTCAGCTCCCGCAACTGATCTCTTCCCTGTCCCTCGCTTCCCATCCTGCTCCTGTGAGTTTCAGGGAAGCCGAGCCTCACTAGAGCTGAGCGAGCAGTACAGCACCGGTAAGAGGCAGCAGCTTCTCCTTCCTGGTGGGTATGTGCAGGCCCTTCTCACATGCTCGTTGGGCTGCCCGCGGAGCGCGAGCATGTGCAGAAGCAGAAGCAGGAAGGGTGCGCTCGGAGCCGGAGCGGAGCCTGCTCTTACACCTGGCAGGGCGGGCGGAAGCGCAGCGCCAGGAGGCGGCGGCCGGGTGGGAGTGGACAGGCCACGTTTGGTTTTGTTTTGACTCTGGGGCGGGTGAGTTCCCGCCTCCTTGGCTGGGGTTGCGAGCGGAGAGCCCCGGCTGGAGCGTAGCTCCCTCCCTCCCTCAACCCCCAGAGCCACTAGGAAGAGGGAGAATTAGTCTCCTCCTTCCCCTGCGCTCGCACTGGTGCTGACCCTGCCTGGCTAGGGAGGGAGGCGGAGGCTTTGCACCAGCCAGGCGGTGGCGGCGGGACAGCAGCAAGAAACAGCGCTTGCTTGCTCGCGTCGCTGCCTGCAGAGCGGGTCTCGCCGGGGACCTTGCAGCAGCAGCCCAGGCGGGGCGGAGGGGGTGTGACAGCCGCGAGCTCAGGCGTAGGAAGGCTGAGGGGCAGTAGCAGCTCCCGCGGAGTCCTGCCCTGCGAGTGCAACGGGGGGAAGCCAAGCAGGATGCACGGTTAGGGGGTCCCCGCTCCCCGGATCAGCTGTGCCTGCCTAGGCCCCTCTGACTGCACCTGGGGGCCGCTCTCCCTTTGCCCGGGTCAGCGGCTGGAGGCTGTTCCGCAGCACGTTGCACTCCCCGGCTGCTGCCTGGGGACTTACCATGGAGAAGAAGGGCCAGGATGAGCCGCTCCCTCACCCCTTGGAGCCGGAGCCGCAGCCTCAGCCCGGGGGGAGGGCGATGGGGGAGAAGCGCTTCAAGCTGTGGTATGTGGGTTGGTCCTGCCTGGACAGACGGACCACGCTGCCCATGCTCCCCTGGCTGATGGCCGAGATCCGCAGGCGCAGCCAAAGGCAGGACCCTGGCGGACCCCTGGGTAGCTCGGTGCCCGCCCGGGAGGTGCTGCTGCTCCTGGGCTCCCCGAACCTCCGCTGCGTCCCCGCCACCTCCAGCGGCAGCCCGGGCAGCGCCAACCCGGCCGTCTTCATCTTCGAGCACAAGGCGCAGCACATCTCCCGCTTCATCCACAACAGCCACGACCTCACCTACTTCGCCTACCTGATCAAGGCGCAGCCCGACAACCCCGAGTCGCAGGTGGCCTGCCACGTGTTCCGGGCCACTGACCCCAACCAGGCAAGTGCTGGGGCTGCCCAGAGTAGGAGGCTTCTCGGGGGAAAATAGGGTGGTGGGAACGTAGGTGATATATAGATTTCCCCCCTCCCAGTGGTGGTGGGGAATAAAGTGGCTGCTCTTCAGAGACTATAGACATGGGGATCCTTCAGGGGCCACTAGTATATGGGCACTTTGACTGTTGAAGAGGATAATAGAGAAAAGGAGGGTATGGAGATGGCTTCTTTGCGAAGCGCTTTGAGATCTAGGCAGTGGTATTATGAGTGGCGTCCCTGGGATCAATAGAGGGGACTGGGAAAAGGGAGGTTTTCCAGGGGGCTGTGGGTAGAGGGTCTTTTCAAAGGCTTCGGTGTCTAAAGTGGAAAGAATATCAGACTGTTCACAAAAGCTTCTGATTAACTCTGCGTTTTGGTGTGTGTGAATCATAGTTCAGGTTCTTACACCAAGCTCACCCTGGGGCGTATTAATACAGAGGTGAGCAGTAGGCTTCATAATGTTGTGGGTGGTTGGGAGAACACTTTGTATCTACTTTATTCCATAATGTAGTGCATGCCCATGAGCTAGTTCAGGGCTTCTCAACCTTTTCATAATGAGGACATGCAAAGAGTGTACCATCTCCACCTTTTCCTTCTCTTGGACCACCTGGTCTCATTCATGATCACATAACATCATTGTGGTAACCACAGCAATTGCTTCTGAAGAGAAGTAAAAATATTTAATGTATTTTAAATTGTCCTTGATGTGGCATAGCCATTGGAAACAAGCAGAATAGCCAGCACTATGTGCCCTGTCTGCTCTTTACAGACCACCATAAACCACAACAGGGCCATATTTCACTTTCAAGTCATGGTAAGGACACCTGGCTGTGCCAGGCACATTCAGGAGTGTTATAAAAGAAGTTATATCTGGGAGGGAACATTGTTGAATGGGTGCCAACTGAAAGAGGTAGCTAAAAGTATGTATTTTTGCAGGCTCTGTAGGCAGGGCCGGTGCAAGGAAGTTTCGCGCCCTAGGCAAAACTTCCACCTTGCGCCCCCCTCTCACCCAGCTAACTCCCCCCCCCCCCCGCAGCAGCTAACCCAGCCCCCTACCCGGGGAGCCCTCCCCGCAGCAGCTACTCCCCCTCTGCGGCAGCTAACCCCGTCCGGGGAGCCCCACCCCCTCTGCGGCAGCTAACCCCACCTGGGGAGACTCCCCCCACCCCGCAGAAGCTAATCCCGCCTGGGGAGCCCGCCCCAGCTCACCTCCACTCCACCTCCTCGCCTGAGCAGGCTTTTAGGCGCTCCCAACCACTAGGCGCCCTAGGCGGCCGCCTAGTTTGCCTAAATGGTTGCACCAGCCCTGTCTGTAGGAGGCTTTGGTTGCTGCATCTAATACACAGAGGACTCCTTTCTCCTGGCTGTGCTGATCATGTGGGGAACAGCAACCTTGACAAGCAGGGCCAATAATTATGTTAATATGGTAATGGCAGGAAAGCAGTCTTTCGGTGATAGTATTTTATTTGAGCAACATGAGCAGCTCCCCCAGAGGTTTACACAGATATATGGGGGTGGAGGGAATATGACTGGTTATATGCACTGGAGTCTATCAAAGTCATTTAATCAACACATCTAGATCTACTGAACAGATTTTTTTGAGGTGAAGGGAGCAAGGGGGTGAGAGAAAGAGGAGTGTAAAACAACTGACTGCCAAGGTTCTAGAATACTAACTTGGGTTTCAGCAAATTCAGTGCTCAAGATTAAAGTAGTTAATGTGGAGTAGTGTAGGTGTATACATGATACTAATTGATGCAGCACACATCAGAGTCAACAGAAAGATTCCCTTTGACTTGAGTGAATGCTAAATCAGAATCATTAAGTGCCTCTCCTATATAGGTCCATACTAGTCCTATTATTACAGGGACAGAAGGGAAATAATGGGGACAGAAGGGGGTTGTAAAATATCCATTCAGTATTATTCCTTGTATCCATGGATCTTATTTCTTTCATTCTCATTTTGGATGCTACTTTTTATTGATCATTCTCTATAGATTCTCCACTGCCCTCCACAGAAGAAAACAAATAAATATATAGGCAAAGCACTCTTACTTTAGGGAATTAGAATGGATACTTTGGGAGGAAGTTATTAACAGAAACAAGTTTTACTATAAAACCCCTATTCACTTTTGACTATGTATCATCTTAAGATATATCCTAGAAGTAAGATTTTTTTTGTAAGTTATCACTTAATGAAAAATAAAACTCATTGGAGTTGGAGGTTACTTACTATTGGCATTGAAGACAAAGAACAAAACTAACTGGCCTAGACGCAGGGCCAGCCTTATGATTTGTGGGACTCCAAGCACGTTAATGGCTTCAGTTTGCCGTGACAGAGATCAGGCAGAAAGCTGTCTCCCTCCCCAGTTCTGTTGCCAGTGGGAGAGATTGGGCTAACATGTTATTTGCCAAGTGTGTGCAGGTCTTAAGCAGTTAACCCGTAGCTCTGAGCGAACAGAATGAGGTGCGAGTTGCTGACCTGGAAAAGCACAGTGTTCCTCCTAGAATTACAAGTTCTACAATTGAGAAACCACAAAAAGAACAGGAGTACTTGTGGCACCTTAGAGACTTTAGTCTCTAAGGTGCCACAAGTACTCCTGTTCTTTTTGCGGATACAGACTAACACGGCTGCTACTCTGAAAATGAGAAACCGCAAGGATATTATCAGAAGATGGTAGAATATACAACCACAGTTCTCTGGAGTAGTTGAGCTGTGTGGTATTTATGGTGTATGTTACCTTAAACAGTTTTTTATGCTCCTGTTTCAAGACTTCTTTGCTTTTGCTGTAAATGTTTGACTGTTAGTGGGAACAACAGGTCAAGTTACTCTGGAGTGGAGGAAGGGAGTCAGAGTGTAGTGTAGTCTTTCCACTAGTGTAGTCAAGTAACCAATTTTCTATGAACTATAAAGGTAAAATGGTAATTTTTGACTTTCAAGAGGGCAGTGCTTAGTATTGTAGTTAAGACCAAACAATGACAGATCTGGGAACAGAACATTGAAGCTAGTGACTCCCAGCCTGTTGCTCAGTCTACTAGTTAGACCAGGGGTCGGCAACGTTTGGCATGCGGCTCGCCAGGGTAAGCACCCTGGCGGGCCAGGCCAGTTTTATTTACCTGCTGACGCGGCAGGTTCGGCCGATCGCGGACCCCACTGGCGCGGCCGACCCCTGAGTTAGACCATGCAGCCTCTCGGACAGGGCTGGCTCCAGGCACCAGCTTAACAAGCAGGTGCTTGGGGCGGCCAAGGGAGAGGGGCGGCAGGTCCCTCACTCCCTCAAGGAGCGAAGGACCTGCCGCCGAACTGCCGCCGCCAATCACGACTTCCCCCCCCCCCCAATTGCCACCGCCGGTCGCGATTGCGATCGCGGCTTTTTTATTTATTTATTTATTTTTGCTTGGGGCGGCAGAAATGCTGGAGCCGGCCCTGCTCTCGGAGGTGCAGGCACACCCCCCCATGTTGTAACAAACAGCTGTCACTCACAGTAAAATGTTCAAAAGAGTGTATATTTGAATACATAGCCTTTTTAGATTTTTCACCTGCACCAATGGTCCAGAAATTCCACACAAACAAATTAAATTTCAGGGTGCACAATCACATGTTAAGGTTTTTTGTTTGTTTTGTTTTTTTGCCAGTTTCACCCAGTTCTGGCAGTGAAATTTTTTTTCCAACTCTCAGAATCCCATTTCAGAAGTACAGTACCACTAGTACAATTTCTTTCTTTCTCCTTCCTTTTATTTTTGTAACAAATGTTGCCATAAGCACCTGTTCCATAAAGGCCAGTTCTATACTGCAGCAGAGATCTGGCAAGGTTATTTACATTGCTGAAAATTTAAAGATAGATCTTGAAAAATGTCACTGGGTGTCATTTGAAACACCTACTAGTCTTAGACAGATCTGAAAAATATGGGGGTGGAGGGAGGGCTCTACCTGGATTCGGGGATAGTACTCTAGCAAGAAGCCTAGTCCAGAAGTTCTTAGCTGTCAGCATGACAGTGAATACTGAGATTTTTACAGGGTTTCTGTCCCTGGCCTCTGTGCAGGGTCTCAGTATTTTGCTCTCGGGCTGCTGGAAATGGGAGGGGGAAGAGTCCCAGAACTTTCTGATTGATGGGCTTGGGAAGGAAAAAATCTGCTGCTCTTCTCTTCTCATTCAGAAGAGCTGCAGTGCTTGCTACTGCTCATAACTTTCCAAAGCAACAGCTGACTGAAATAGACTAGGATTCTTGTTCATTTCAATGCTGGCTACAGAATAGCAGAGTTGTTAGTTTCACACAGCTTTCACTTGGGAATAGTTTAGGAGGCATGGAGTCTGAGTATTTAAGATGACAGCACTGTCTCACTTTATATTTAGAATGTTTTCTTTGCAACTACTGAAACTAGAAGCTTTCAAAAAAATAAAATGAATGGAATCTAGAATCTGCAGAAATTGATGGTTTAACCCCTACTTCCCTTTTTCCATCATCTAGGAAAACCTCACATTGATCAGCAAAGTTTTCAAGCCCCACCTGAGCTCATAAAATGAAATATACAAAGCAGGCATATTTGTTTTAGATGTGGAGTCTGAATATAAATCTTAATGGTATATGATAATCATCTTAAATTTCCTAAGTCACATACTTCTTCCTTAGGAAAAGGTTCAGGGTCTGATTTGCTGTTTCACATGATGAAGTAGAACTCTCATTTTCTTCATGAAACATGAACAAGACCGGTAACTTGTATAGTACCAAATACAATTGATTTGTAAACAATCTGATTGTTATGATTGATAGTTATTAGTGAAGACTCTTGCACAACAATGGCGTTCCTTCTTAGACAAGTACTTAGATGACATTTTAAAAAATGTTACCATACATTTTAGGTTTCATTTAAAAATCCTTGTGAAGAGTGATCAAAGTGTGCAGCTCTCCAGCATTTCAAATATAACCCAAGGACCGTATCAGCTGGGAAGAAGGAAATTTTCCATTGTA